AAGAGGATTTTAAACAAATTATAAAAGTATTTATCTTTAGAAAGTTTATTTTATTATCTTTTTAATGAAATATTTCTAACATTTTCATTTTTTTTACTTTTTTATAGTAAGTTTTACAAAATTTTTCTTTAATATTTTTTTTAATGAAATATTAAAAACATTTTGTTTAATTATTTTTAGCTTATAGGTAATAGATTTTATAGCAATTTAAAAATAATATTTTTATTAACTTTTTTTGATGAAATACTTTTTAATGTTTTATTTATAAAGTTTAAAGAATTTTTGAATGTAATTTTAAAGATAAATTAACTTTGAATTTTTTTATGAAACGTTAAAAAATGTTTTTTTTAATTTTATTTAGGTTAGAAAAATAAGATAAATTTTATTTTACTTTTTTTTAATGAAAAGTTTATCAACTAATGTTTTTATTTTTATTTTTTTTAGATTTTAAATAGACTGCTTTTAGATAAATAAAGTAATCTAATATTATTTAATAATAAAGCAATTTAATACTATTTAATAATAAATTAATTTATTATTATTTAATAATTAGTTATTTAATAAATCAGGTATTTTTTATTATTTAATCACTAATTTATCCATATCAATAGCATTTGAAAAATTTGATTATTAGAATATATATATTTTTTTGATATAATTATGGTAATTAATAATAGAATAACTTTTGCTTAAGGTATAATTAATTCTTTTATTAAATTTGAAGTTATAATAAAAAATTAATTAAAACTACATAAAAACATTTTTTTAATATTATTTTTCATTTAGAATTTAATCATAATATATTATTAGCTTGTTTTTAAGTTTGTCATTAAATAAGTTCTAAATTTTATGACAATAAATTGCAAAAATAATTTAAGAGTTTCAGGTACCTGTAATATTAAAATTTTTTAAGGTTATAAACTCATTATAGATTTAGATACAACTGAGTTTAAAAAAGAGAATCAAGGATACAATCTTAATCATAAATTAGAGATTGACCTAAAAAACTTTATGAAAGAGATTTTTCTTGTTAAGTTTATTATTTTCTTTACATATTAGAATGTAAACAATTTGAATATTTTTGAAATTGGTATCACATTCAATTTGACCTATAGAGTGAATGCTGAGAAAAGGGACCAAATTATCAAAAAGTTATTTTTTTAAATAATGAGAGTTCTGGGTTAGATGAGATGAATTTTACTTAAGAGCAATTTTTGAAAATTTTTGATTTGGTCCCTTTTCCCAGCACTCACCCATATATAGATATACAGGCTTTACACTTAAGCTCTTCTTTACTCTCAATATTACTGTACTATTCCTAAATTTGATTCCAATTCAAATGATTTTGACTTCTTTTAAATTCTTATCGCATAAATTTCTGTTTTAATTAAAGCTTTAGATATAAAATAACTATAAGTACTTCAAGTTACACAATTAATTACAGTATTTATAAAAACCAATTTCTTTATATGACACATTATTCATTGCAACAGAACTTAAACATGGCTTTCTCAAGCGAGAATTCTGATCAGAATACCCCAAAGAATTGAACTTCAGTTAACTTCAGTTAGAATCTTCATATAGCTTATCTGTTCAGCCTGAAAGAAGAAGGAAATTTTCATTAGCTACATCTAATAGTTTAGCAAGATTTGCTAATTTTTGTGTATGACTTTATTAATTCTTGTTTTGATTATCGATTTATCCAATCAGACGGAAATCTCACGTGACAAGGTAATTTTCCACTAATTAATATGTCCTTCGCTTCACTCCGATTTTTTTTTTTTATTAGTGGAAAAGATTAAAAATAGAATGCCAAATATGTAAGTGTAATTTATTTCATGTAACAATTGCGATCGTCATTTCCGAAACATGATACAATATTGTGTAAATTTGAGTACATGATAAAAGTGATTAATAAAGTTCCACACATAATTAATTGTGCTCATTCATTAATAAATAAAATGAATCTGTAGAAATTCATGTGAGATATAAAGTGTTTTAATGTTTATTGAATTTATTTTTTGAAAGATAACGATAAGAAAAAAAATTGTATAAATATGGCAAATAAGGTAGATTTTTTTTGGAGGAAAAAATCCATAAATTGACAATCATCTAAAATATAATTTTAAAATGTTATCGAATATGGCGCTTAAAAGTACAATTTTCACTTTTCTGGTAACCTTATCCCTACTCGTGGTCTATCGTACATATTCGTACGTATCTCCCTTAGCATACGCAGTCCTCGCCAAATTCGAAAAACTCGAAGGAAAAATTAAGATAACTCAAATTGACAAAAGAAAAGTCCGTGTTACAGGACAATTCAAGAAAGGATTCTCGGATGTTAATCCTGACAATTATAAATTTCTTCTTGGTCATGAATCCGAAACCTTCACTGAGCAAGGTATAAAAACCAAACCGCCCGGTACTGAGCCTTTTACCTTCATTGCATCTGGAAATGCTCCCGCTTTAATTGGTAAGACAATTTCGATTACATACAAGAATGCAGCCATCGATCGAACGACATTTATGGTGTCAGAATAGGTAAATATTAGATAGATTTAGAACGCATTTTAACAGTAAATACCATTTTAGCATAAGAAATAAAAAATGTTTAATAAATTTTTTTTAAATGGAATTTTAAGTTATATTTAAGTTAAACATTTTATTGAGGAAGAAAATAATTTCATTAAAAGACGATATATTTGATTTGAGTTATGATGAATTTTTCGTCCACATTTTCTTAGTTGTGAGAACACCAATGGTAGAATCTGTATGTTACTAAGCTTAAAAGAAACTTTTCGATTCTAAATTCAAGCTCTAAACGATATCCATTTAGTCATTTAATTATGAACTCACTTTCATTATGTCAGTTATATGAGTTTCGGCTAGTATTACGGCTTTAAAAGCGTTAAAAATTATTTCGTTCGTAATTCCAATTAATTAATTACGTATTCCTAAAGTAAACAATATTTTAAAGTGCCGCGACACGTTCAATTATAATTGAACAAAAATTTTATAATTTAAATATTAACTTTTGTGATAATTACAATGGTCAAATTCATCGCGTAAAGAAGTGCTGTGAATTAACTGAATGTAAATATATTTGTTTTGTGTTTGGTGTTCATTGAAGCTCCGCATAAGCCAGATCGACTCGAATTTTATTATATGACGGTACAACAATGAAAATTATTCTCAACAGGAAAACTTTAAATTTTCATTATAATTTTTAATTGTCCTTAATCAAAATATGATCACGATATTTATTTTTTTGGTTTTCTTAAAATTTTACTTATTTAACAAAACTTTTACATTTTTCAGCTTCTAAATGACCTAATCAAATGTGAAGCTATTTAAAATAGGCTGAGCTATTCTGTAATATCTTTACTACCGCTAGCAACTTTTGGATAATATCAAAGACGTAAATTAACGAAAAACGAAATTTCAAAGAAAATCAATCTAATTTTAGGATAAATGCACATCACTGCTTAAATGGGTTGATTTTACAAATTACTTAATAATTTGAGGACATGATATTTCGCCATTTGTAATCTAAAATTCATAGCTTGAATCCTTGAAAACTTTGTTAAAGACATTTCAAGTTTTTACTAAATGATTTTAAATTATAAAGCGATGTAATAATATCAGCAAAACATTAATTTGAATCATTCACTTAGAATACCAGGAATTTATAACCAGAGAGAGAGAGAGAGAGAGAGAGAGAGAGAGAGAGACCATTATTTTTTTTTTTTTAGCATTTCATCATATCGAACTGATAATTTAATGATCCGACAGAAATCATTTATTCTATTCTTAATAAAATTCCATAAATTCAGTTAAAATTGATAAGCAAAAATTGTAGATGTTTGAAAAGTCGACCTCTCCCAATTAAAATCATATTATGAGCTTTGCTATTAAAATCGGGTTCCGAGGTTAAGAAATACCACAGTAATAAATTTAAAGATTGAGTCGATTCAATACTCAGTCATATTTATTTAAAAATTATTATATATTTATTTTATTTTATTATTAAACTTAAAATTTTTTAACCCAGTGTTACACCAACTTCGTAACATGAGATTTTGCTATTAAATCACTGTTTTGAATCCTAAATATTATTTACTTAATTAAATATTTTTAAAAAACAACTTTATTTAATACGAAAACAAGTTTATTTTAATCATTAAAAAAAAAATTTCAATTAAAAGCACTTCTTTTTTTTTTTTTTAAAAAAAAAAAAGTTTACTATAAAAATTACTTTTTCTGGAAGGGTATGAATACCCCAAATTTCCCATTAAATCAGTTAATATAAAGATTTTATTATATTTTTCAATTAATAAAAATTTTGGAAGAGTCAAAATCTTTTTAATTTCAGATTTTTTGACTGATGCTACACAAAAATTAAGAAGTTTTGTCGGACTAATTGCTTGCTTTACTAATGAGTTAATAATAATAAAAATTTAATCAAATAAATTTCATATATAATACTATAAATAATATAATGCAAATATCTTCTTTTTGGTTGGAGGGCTCCTGGAACCCGATTAATTCCCATATGATATTACTAAATTCTAAATTGATTTTATTTGTAGCGTTCCCATATATTAAATACTAATTAAAATGATTAACAATGATTAAAGAAAATTAAAAAAACACGTAAATTTTTGTTTCGTATTTTTTTTTTTGTAAAAAAAAAATCATTGTACGTTATTAATACCGATCTCTTAAACAATGAAAGTAATATTAGCATTACTTTGTGATAATGGTGATTGTTTTACGAGGTAGTAATTGCACAGGAATATTGGGTAAGTGAGATGATGATGGTGTTGATGCAGATACATATGAATCAGAATATCCATCACCTATATCAGTTGATTCAGTATTTATTTTATTTCTTCCCATAGGTTTCTTTTCAAGAGAACTTTGGCGTATAGTTACATTTGGGTATTGAGGTCTGAGTTCCTCTGGATTAAAAGAACTTATACTGGAAGACGTGTGACCTTTTTTAAGACTATTCCGATCCAAAGAACGGGCATCCAAATTGAAATGCTTCCAAGTATGATGAATAGATGGCGGGATTAAATCATCATCATCATCATCTTCTTCTTCTTCTTCTCCATACGTTTCCAATTTTTTCAGTTCAACATCATAATTACGTAATCTAAATCCAGAAAGGTAATGACGACTTAAGGTTTGTTCAACAAACCAAAGTTTCTGATTAATTCTAGCATCAATTTTTTTATTTAGACTCTTTGACCTTGAAACTGGATGAAACGGTGGTAGAGAAAATCCATGTTGTGCTGGAGTTCCTGTAGCTGAGAAATAATATAATGAATTTGTGTGTATATTGTCACTTATAGGAGGAGGTGATGAAGAGACCGGTTTTCCGGTTATTGTACTCGGTGAACCAACAAGTGTGTTGCTACTCATTTGACGCTCTACGTCTTTATCTTTGTAAGAAATAGGTAATAATAGATCGCTATCATCTTTTCTCATCGCATTTGGTGAAGTATGTAGCAAATATCGCTGGACTATTCCCCATGAACGGTATTTGCCTCTCCTAAATAAATTCAAATATTAGCTATCATTCATAATATTTAAATAGAAAAATTTTTATATTATAAATCCAAACATTGTATTACCCAAACAAAAAAAACCAGATCACCGAAGTTAATGTCAAAAGACCACCAACGGAGGAAACAAGATCTGGATTTAAATTAAATTTAATTTTAGTAAATACAAATAATGCGTTCGTCCAATAAGAAAAGTTTGATAGTTACCGTATAGAGTATATGGTCTTCTCTCCGTATAAGTATTTGTCTAAACATGTGAAAATTGACCAAAGTCAGCGATCTATATAAAAAAAAAAAAAATAAATAGATGTGAAATAACTTACTAAATATGTATCCGGAGAATATAGAAATCTTGTCAATATCTTTTTTTCAGCAAAAGGTTCATCTTGTCTAACAATATTTTGCATATTAACAAAGAAAGAAGAATGGAAACCATCATATAAATTATGTCTTACGCTACTTGTGAAAGTAAAAGTGTTTACAGAAGGAATTGGACCAGCAAAAGGTTGAACACTAGACATATTTCTTTCTTCATCAAATATACCAAATAATATACCGTTTGGATTACTTTTAATAACTTCTTTATCATTATAAGCTATTAAAATAATTTGATCAACTTCACCAGGAAAGAACCGGATGTTTCTTGGATTAAATACAAAACAAGGCCAAACCTCTTGTTTTTCGGTCCAATCACCAGATGTTAAGGCATTTGTTGAAGTTTTTGTAATATGTTCTGGTGATAGGATTGTCGCTTTATCTTTTGATTCACCATTCGATTCGCCTCTTTTTAATGATTCTACTTCTAATTTTGTTATATTTGGTGAGCATACAAATGATGACCAAACTGGAATCCCATCCTTGGATAAATCCTTAATTTGCATGGAAATTAGCGGTTCTATATTTTTAATATTGATAAATCCAAATACTATATTTATTTTGTTTGCAGAGACTCCTATAATGATGCTCGCGCATATAACAATGAAAATAAATCTCAACAGATGTTCTCCAGAAACTTCAAATTTCATTAACATTTTTTCTAACTTTAAAATAGGCTGAGCTATTTTTTATGTCTATAACTTTATATACGATACGATCCAAATTAAGAAGACAATTAAGGAAAGTGAAAATTCAATGATGAATTTTTTTTTAATTTTTTACATATATTAATGGATTGGATAAAAATAATAAAGAAAAAAAAATGATTTCGTTTAAATTTATTGAAATTTATAAAGAACTTTTTGAATCATTGTTGTATTAAGCACACGCATTTCTATTAGGATTACAGATTTACAAATTACATAAATCACCCCGATTCGTAATAAATGCAATTTGTGAAAACTTTTTTTAGCTATTTATTTATATAAATTAATTGGTCACAGACGAAAAAAGAAAGAAATTGGCCATTTTTCATTGTTTGGAAAAGATATGATCATATAAATATTAAAAGTTAATGTTTCATACCTATTTTTCCAAATTCGTAAAATTATTGAATGAGCCCTAGTAAACGTTTAATTGTTATTCGTCCATATTTAAAATTAACAAAAATGATTTTCGTTGTTTTTATGTAAATCATTTGAACGTTGTTTTAAGAATTTTATCAAATGAGCATTTTAACAAAGAACTTTGTTTTTCAACGTTAATCTTTAAGAATTCAAATCGTGCAAATTTAATTTAATTTGAACAAACATTACCACTTCATTTCATTTTTTTTTTTTTCAAAGAATATGGTTTCCTCGACAGTTTCTTTTTTTGGCAAAAAACATGTTTCCAAATTTAATATATTAGTAATTTTTATTACGAAGTTCATTTAACTTGTGTATACTTGAAGTGTACCTTTAAATTGATGTACAGTACATTGAGTTAATATATAAATTGATTAAGGTCACATAAGTATCAATAAATAAATAAAGTATTAAATTCTCTTAGCCTCAAAAGCTAGCATTTTGGTTCTAAGGAAAACATTATCGTTTCAGAATACTTGTTCCTTAATTGATCATTCAAAATAATGTTTTTTATTTATCTTGTATGCTCATTCTATAAGATTTTTCAGGAAAAGAGAAGGTTTTGGAGGTTAATTTTAGAGATTTAATTTTTTTCTATGTAAAATTTGTATACAAAAAATTTACATGACAATAATCAAAATCAATCTTTTAATAGTGTTTAACCTAGAACGTAAAAACATTTATTTTACTGGACTATTTTACGTTCATAAAATAATAGGGAAAGTATAATACATTTTTTTTTCGAATTTAATAATCCAAGTCATCATCATCCTAAGTTGTAAGGGATCTTTCACAAACAAATAATCTTCCGCAGAAATCATTATGTCTTCGTGCTTACTATTATAATGTTTAATCGTGTAATCATGATTTTAGATAGAGCCAGAATTTTGAGGTCAATTAATATTTTCAAAATTTTTTAGTAAGTATAAATTTATAATACTGGGACAAAATAGCAGTATTTGATCTTATATATATATATATATATTGGCATCGAGCTCACTATGATAAAGGATCCTCATCGGTTTTTAAATTATCAATTTTTAATACAAAGACAACATATTAGGGCTCGCACCAACCCTTGTAAAATCCAGTATCCATATACTGTTATTTGGGAATGTCAAAAAGGCATCTCCATACAAAGGAGAATCCAAAACCAGAATGTTATGGGCTTCTATTAAAATAACACCGTTGGATAAATAAATAATTACAATCTTTTCCCAGTGGAATAACTGAAATGTCACGCCGCCTTGTCAACCGAGTAACGTCGTACTAATCTAATTTATTTTTTTTAGTCTACAAATTTAATTAAAAAGTTTTTGTAAATCTCTTATTTATTTAATATTTCAGGTCTTAATTTTTTTTACTTACAATTTATGGAATTATATATTATTTTTACAAATAACAATTGATTTCAATTAAAATGTGAAAATTCAAGAATCTTCTCACATTTAAACAACTTACTTAACTTTAAAGGCGTTCCAACAACTCGAGAGTATGACTGTAAGTTGGACGTCAAATTTCTTCAAATAAGAAATTATATGGATATCTCAAATAAGAGGCATAAAAATGTTTATTTTCTAGTAAAAACATTCTTTGTAAAATTTATTGTGCGTCAGGTGTCATATGTCGACGTTACACGAAAATATTTGTGGTTAAACTAATTTATTTGAAGCTTACTATATATAGGATTATAAAATAAATATTTGGAAAAAAATTTTCTTTCCCAACAATTTTCAAATATAAAAATGCTGGCACAATTATTTCCCAAATTAAGTCAAAATATATTGAAATATTAGATATTATGGTATTACAATTGAAGTTGGTGAAAATCCAAATGTGCAAATATTTTGTGCACACATTTTTACAAACTCTGGCTACAATTAATGGTGGTATGCTAAATCACATTAGATTACCAAACGTTTCTCCAGAAAATTTTCACATTATTTTGAAGTAAGTTATATTTAACCGATATTTTTCCCTTGATTTTATTGTTTACTATTTCTTATAGATTTAAATATATATGACGTAGGTACATTTATGGCCGGGTTATTTCATTAAATGATGATGAACAAGGCATTTTAGATATCTTTAAGATATTGGCGACTACTGACGAACTTCATCTTCAAGAATTAATTGAATATTTACAAAAATATTTAATCGAAAATAAATCTGAATAGATGGAACAACATTTTGACTCTTTCATAAAACAATTTTTCAATTTAATTCTTTGTTAAGGCTTCAAGAGTTTTGTACAAATTTATGGCTAAATCACCTGAAAAAATTTTCAAATCACTCGATTATACTTCGTTTCCTGAAGAAATTTTAATTTCACTTATTAAAGAAACGATTTGCAGATGAAGGAAGCTGAAGTTGGAAGCATGTATTAAAATGGGTGCTTGAAAAAAATCTTACGCTAGTTCCAAATCCTATAGCTTGGACGAAGATGATTTCGAAATCATGGAAGATACTTTGCAACATTGTTTACCATTAATCAGGTTTAACCGTATAAAAACTTTTAAATCTTCAACTCTATGAGAATTTAATAAATTCTTATTTGGATTATGATAGTGTACCAAGCGATGATATTATATTCCCTAGATGTAGAAACGTAGATGGAAGTATTGATACAAAAAATCGTCAATTTAAATATTGTATCCATAATTTCAAGATGGATTGATAAGGTGGAAATTAAAGAAAATTTGCGTATATAAGTGAATTTATTTACCATATAAATTTAAATTATTAATAAGAGGAAGAGAGAAGGACTTACTCATGATTTATGCGATAATAAACCTCACACAATTACATTCATTCAAGTAAAAGAAACAAAAATTCTTGGAGGATATAATCCTTTTATATGAAAGGAACCCAATAACCTAGCTAAAGATAGTTTTATATTCAATTTTAAGCAATGTAAAGATGTGGAACATGCATTACATTATTATATAGGTATAATGCTGGTTCCTCATTTGGTAAGGATCTTTTTATGGTAATTGTTTTTTGTAATCTAACTGATTATGAGAAAAATATAAGAGATATAGAAAATTTCTTAATAGAAGATTATAATTTGTTAAATCGAGTTACGAAATCTTCAAACATTTGATCAAAATATTATACATTAATGTGAATAAAATTAACACAAATATTTTTATTACTTTGGATGGTTAAACAAAATATGAATATAATTTATACTAATTCCGCTAACTAATCAACTGACTTTCTTTAAATTGTAATAGAATATATTCTCATTAAAAGATTATTTAGACGTTATTACATGATACAAAAGCGATCATAACATAAACGTCTTGTAAAAGCAAAATTGAAGTGAAATCAGCTAAAATTTAATTCTTTCATGAGTAATAATTTAAATAATATATTCTGTGTCTTAATGATTAGATGCTAAAATTTTATCAATATCTGAATTTTCCTATCTTTTGAAACCCTTTATCAATATTCAGAAAAATATATTTCATGCCTATCTCCTTGATAATGTTATCGGTGTTCCCCTGTGCTTTAAAGTTATTTTTGTTGTAAAAATATCCTTAAAATTACCGTTGACGATTCAGTTTTGCGGTTAGCATTAAATGAAATTCTTTCTTTAAAAAAAATAAAATTGAAAAGCCATTCAATCTTAATAATAAAAGTGGCATAACTATTTATACATGAGCATTTTTTTAAATAAATCCCAAAATATATACTAGGTAACTGAGGCCGTTTGCAAGTCCGGAGCGAGTCCATTTTAATTCACGTGATAAAATAATCGTAATAGATCAGCAGTGAAACAATAAACATCGACACAAATATTGTCTTACGTTACACTCCGGACTAATAAAGGAAATAATAACTTTGAATAACCCAAAATTCAACATTCACCCTCTAATTAATCCAAAAAAATTTTCCGATTATCATATGAAAATCAGTATTTCGCATCTGTTCAGTTAATAATCAACGGTCATTGCCAAGAAAAAAAAAAAATTCTAAATAAAGTAAAATTTATACTAATCATACCAATTAACAAACAAACTATCAAATGAACAAAACCAATTATTTTTGTTCCCACACATACCTTATTAGTAATAAACAATGGCGTAATACCAGTATCTTAATCAATGAAAATCCAAAATTTCAAATGAATTATAATAAGCGAATCTAATTTTTTTTTTGTTTTTTTTTGGTGAAATAATTTTCTTTCGTGAAATATATTTCTCGTTACTATTGATTTCCTTTTTCTATAATACATAGGAAAAAAAAAAAAAAAATAATTAAGGAGATGCGGAACTTATACAACATTCTATATCTAGTTTTTATCCTCAGTTTATTTGTTTCTTATAATCCAACGCTATGCATTACATACAATTATTCTCAAGAATATCTTTTCAGCAAACATCTATTTTACGTCGAACCACCTCAAACTGCCTTTGCTACCGACATTAAACCCATAAGTTATCCTGCAAAATGTGATTTAAAACAATTACATTCGGTTTCTAGACATGGTAAATATTATTTTGCAAAGTATAAAAATTAAACCACAAAATAATATTTTATTTTTTTGATTTAATTATAAGGATCAAGATATCCAGATGAGATTGAAATTACAGCTTTTGAAAGTTTGGAAAAAACATTTGCTAACGTTTCTGTTGCAAAGGAATGGGTAAAAAAAACTCAAATTATTTCAAAGAAATTTATCGTTTATTCACAAATACTTATGTTTTAGTATAAAAATCCCTTCCCCATGAGTAAAAAACTTCAATTGGTCAAGCGAGGAGAAATAGAACCTTATTTTGATGGTTTACAATGTCGTAAAAGATACGCAAAATTTTGGGATGGGGTGAAATATGATCCCGAAGTTATAAAATTTCAAAGTACTCAAACTTCAAGGTACAATATTTTTGAATTTTCACACATTTGGTTCTTGCGAACAAACCAAAACTATCTTTTTTCATTTTAAGACACGGTGCGTCGTTGATGGCCTTTTCTGAAGGATTATTTAATGGCAAGGGGCCCTTAGACACTTGCAAAAGCCAACCTATATACTATTCGACTCCACCATTGGTAAAATATTGTTTTATTGCTCCATGTATAAATTTTAGTTTTTGTTCAAATGCTTTTCATATCGCATAATTATTTTTGCAGTTACAAGATGCTGAGCATTACATGTTTTTCGCTTGTCGACGTTGGAACGAGACCGTTTTTAATAATAATACATTACGTGATGAACAAGTCTATGCTTATGGTAACAAGACTCTAGTAACAATTGCCAAGCGACTTTCCGATACACACCATATTAGTCCACCACTTGATCCACATCAAGTGCCATACATTTTGATTAATTGCCAATTTTGGCTCGCGGCGTTTAATCGAACCGACGCATGGTGCTCATTATTAAGTCCCAAAGAACTTTTATTATCGCGATATTATTGGGATCTGAGATATTATTATCAATTTTTATATGGTCATCCTTTAAACACACGACTGGGCTGTAGATACCTAACTCAACTTGTAAATGAAGTTGAAGGTTATTTGAATGGGAATTCTAGCATGATAGCCGATATAAGGAATGTTCTAGGTTTTACTTTGAGCATATTGTTCGCTACAATGGTATTAAAGTTTTCATTTCTATTCTATTATCTTTTTATTTTTCTCACCTTTTTATTTTTTCTTTTTTTTTAATAATTTTGATTACAGGGAGTATTTAAAAACGAATACCCACTCACGGCAAATCTTACTTTTGAACAAATTCAAAATCTTAAATATACAGGCCATAGACTTATATACTTTTCATCTACGCTTTATTACGAAATTTATACGTGTTCCGATGATCGCGTATTGATACGAGTAGTATTTAATTCTGAACCATTTGTTGTTCCGGGCTGTGAGAGTGAATATTGTGAGTGGAGCAAATTTAAAGAAATTTTTGGTGGTAAGATTGGATGCGATTTTGAGAAAATGTGCGCTTATCCTTGATAGATAAGGGAATTTTTGATTTAAAAGCAATTTCTTTGGTTTTTTTTTTTTTTTTCCTATGTATCAAACATTTGTTCATCTCATAATTTGTTAAAATAAATATAAATATGTAATTATTTTACGTTTCTGATTAGAATTTGATTGTAATTTGTAAGTTAAACGATTGATAAATTGATAAATTTACAAAAGAAAAATTTTCTTATCGGTTTTTTGAATATTCATAATTTTTTTTTTTTTTTTTACAAATTCGATATATTACGCGTTTTATGAATGAACTGAAATTTGATAATGTAAAGCTTTTTAAAATTCATTGAAGTGTCCGAAAAATTTTTACGTTTCTTGTGAGACTTAAAATAAGATATCTCATAATTCAGATAATCATTAATCTTTTCCAGACTTTTCTGTATATTTAAGACGCAAATTAATAAAAAAAATTTGTTTGATACAGCTTACTGCAACGAACTGTTTCATAAATAAAAAAAATTTATTTATTATAACTATTATTATTAAGTTTTATACGTCAGAATACTAGAATTGTTGCAGTTATTATTTCAGTACATTTTACAAAGCTACAAAGAAATTTCTTGTATTTATCTTCAATAATTTATCGAGTAAGTGTTTAGGAAGTGACTGACCATTTGACCGGCTAGTTCGTCCGATAATCAATTTGGAATTAAAGTTAATACTGATATATACAAAAAAACTGTATTGTATAAAGTCAGGACGAAGAATTATTTTGAAGTTGAAACGGTCTGTCAAAAAGTCGGTCGGCCACACTCGCTCTATGCAAAAAAAAAAAAAAATATGCAAAGCGTCAATAATAATTCAAAACGAGTGGGTTAATTGGATTGAAGAGGCTATTTCTAAAAGCCATATTAAATGTTACAAGAAATTGGTTGTGAAGGATTCTCTATAATTATCAGCGACGTTGTTATGATTAACTTTTTAAAATAAATGGTCAACGCGTTGAAATTTCAAAAGTTCTTCATAATGATAAAGAAAGCGTTTAAAAATAAAATCTTTAAACAGGAATTTGTTTAAAATATGATAAATGTACAAATATTTTTTATTTTATTTTATTTTTTTTTTTTTTAGAATTGAACGCAACCAATTTTTGAGAAAAAAGGTACTATTTTTCTCTTATTGTTTCACTTTTAGTTGAAAAGCCCCAAAAGTATTTTCGAATTCTTATAATCTAATTAGAATAATAACTTTGATTCATTTTTATACCTTTGCAATAATAATAAAAGGAGAAATTGTAAAATTTGCATACCATTAACGCTTTGAATCTTAATGGAATAGCCGTTAAAACCTTAGAACAATCATTACAGTTTATTGAAGATATAAACTTTGTTTCATATCATCAATTTCTACCAATAATTCCATTTTATATTAAAAACCTAAAGAATTTATTGAAACGTACTGTAAAAAGTGTTTGAATTTTTTTTTAATAAACCAATCATTCGATAAGTTGAAAATAAGGAAAGCATTAAAACTTGATAACGCGATTTTTGAAGAAGGTAAACTTAAATATTCAAAGGATTAAACGAAATATTCTTTGATTTGATTGGTCATTTAAAATTAATGACGTTTTGTTCATTATGTTGCTCATTTTAAAGGATTTAAATACTTTGGTAGTAGTAAGTGTCTTTCGTTTAGTAATATTAACTTTTAATTAAAGGAAATATTTAAAGATCTTGTGGACGTACGAAACATCAAACGATCTATTCAGCACATTTCTAAAGCCGTATCAGTATGTATGTTTAGAGTTAATTTATGCCGTGTTTTTTTTTTAAGCAAATGTCGACCAAGGTTTTGTTTGATACTAAAGAGACAGCAAACAGCCATTTCTGGAACTGCCAAACGGGAACCGGAACGGTTAAAACTGAACGTATGATGGGGCGAGGATTCTTGTAAGCACGGTGTGGGACAGCCTATTTCTTTACTCGATCAACATTGGCCAACCTCCGAGAACCTTGACATTTCTCGAACAACAAACGGAATTTCTTTTCCGACATTTAACCCAACTAGCAAAATTGATAATGATGTTAGAGCGAAATTCAAGAAACATCCATCAGCGATAAATGTGTCACGAAAGTTAAAACGCCAGAGAAGCAACTGGTTGCAACTGGTGACAAATAAGCATCACAGGGTTGCAACTAGTTGCAACATTAATAAAAATTGAGTTGTAACTAGTTGCAACCAATGACAAATAAGTATTACATAGTTGCAACTAGTTGCAACGCCATCTTTAATTTTTACTATATAAAAGATCATAGGATTAGCAATTTTAGTTCAGTTAGCAATAACTGAGCTCCTATTATAGATTACATTATAATAGCCACAGATTTAAATCTCAACTGAGGCATAAAATTAGATAATTTTTTAAGAATTTCATATGTAACTGAATATGTAAATGTATATACTAATATATATTTATAATTGATTGATCAATCTATTGATCGATATTAATCATGTTTAAATACTAGATTTAAAGAATATGTAAATGCAAATGAAGCTATAAATCAATAGAAACCTAACTCTCATTAATAGATCTATAATGTATACTATCTCACGTCTTCAAATTCAGAGGCCTTTATATAAGTAAAAAAATAGTTAATTAGTAATTAGTAGAATATGTACTTTAAAAAGGACTATAGTAATAATAAACTATATTATAGTACTATAGCATCATCCAATCAAGCTATCATTTAGAGCAGAGGCCAGGTTCAATTTCTGAATGACATATGAGCTGATCTGACTCTATTCAATTTTATCACATTATTATTAGAACTTATTATTACGTTTACACAAAATTTTTTATTATAATTGAAAAATCTGAAAACATAATAAAATAATTCACGTGATAAGGTTAATTTTATAACTAGTCAAAAAATTTTTCACATTGCATAACTATTCATATTATCATCTTTAAAATAGTTCAAAATCAGTTCAAAATCAGTTTAAAGGAATCGACAACTTTAATAAAAAATGTGTTGTAGTTATTAAGAAACTTTTTTTTAACATATTCAATTATTTTTCTAAAAAAAAAAATCTTTTTTGTTTTTTTATTAAATGTTAATTATGTCAAATGAATCAAACGAAGGTATAATTATATTTTTATTAATGCTTTTACAGAGATTATAGAGATATAAATAACTAATCTTTAAAAATTTATAGATAACTATTCATCAAGGATTTTTAATCAAGATTATTCCAATTCTTCTCATATTATAGCAACATATAAATCAGGTAGAAATACATTCATATCATGGTATAATATAATATCTTTAGAATATTATTCTACAAATGCTATAATGACGCAAAAAAGTTCCAAAAATGGGAAACAGTATAAAATACCAAATGATTATATAATTGAGATTGAGTTAGAAAATAGGAAAATTCATTATAAAATTAATATATTTCAAATTGAAAAGCAAGGTATATTATTTTTTAGAACAAAAATAATGTAGAATATAATATTTATAGTAAAAAATCTGCAACTGAAGCAGTTACTGAATTTTTACAGGTATTTGTAAATTTAATAAATTAATTATTATATTTTATAATAAATAAACATATTTTTTGCTTGATATATAGTAAATAAATATTATAATAATTTTAAATATATTATTTAGAGAATAAATCTAAATGAATCACGGATATCAAGTCCTCGAATTTTTGAATTAGATATAGGAAAATTGTATCAGTATTGATTAAAGATTTCTACTATACCTATAGCTTCTAGAAAATAGCTTTTTTCTATGATACAATCCAAATCAGGATAAAATAAATGATTTGCAGCTTTTGGAAAAGATTCTAAACAAAAACTATTATCATTAATTATAAAATATAATACAGAGGCCTACAGTAATTTACCGGATTTTTTACTATTTATAAAATTTATATACATAATGCGAGTTTTTATCTGT